CTATATAATCCCCTAGATATACCCCTTTAAGGAGTTTAGACCCTAAACCCTAAACCCTATATAATCCCCCATATAGCCCCCCTTTAAGGGGTTTAGACTATAGCTCATATGGCACATGGCCCGGATCATCCGTCAACCTCGGCTTTCCCTACATTAGTATCCATGATCATTCTTGATTGGGTACTGCCCCCACCCATTAACAGTCTATACTAGGGGCCTATTAAGGGCTTAGGGTTTAGGGCTTTAGGGTTTAGGGTTCTAGGGTTTTAGGGTTTTAGGGTTTAGGGTTTAGGGTTTAGGGCTATATTAGGGGTCCTATTAAGGGCTATATATAGCCATATTATAGTTATTGTCCAACTGTTTCTGAGTGGGGGGAGGGGGGGGCAGCACCCAAATTGTTGACATGGAAATATTGGGCAAACTAATGTAGACCCGTGATTAATACACCCCCTCTTTTTAAGGGCCTTAATAGTAGGATCCCTATTATAATCCTTGTTAAGTAGAGAAGGTTTATTCATTACAAGTCTACAAATGCCAAAATAACCCATTATCGTAATCTCCATGTCTTCCATTATCCCAATATAACCACAACCCTAAACCCTAAACCCTATATAACCCCATTATAATAGTTTCCATCTTATTTCCATCACCCCAACATAGCAAGCAGGAGGCCTTTGGTTCCTCAAGAGGTGTGCTGGAGCTAAAGCTGCGACATCCGCCGGAGAACTTCTGACCTTCATAGAAATGAAAACATCAACCCCTACCCTTAGGTAATATACTATATTATGGTATATTATGGTATGTTATGGTCTAATATCATATATTATAGCGTAATATAGACTATAGACCCCTGATTTATAAGCCCCTCGCCTTAATGGGGAGTGTAATAGGGATCCTGCTATGAAGGCCCTTAGAAGGAGGGGGGTTATTGATCATGGGTCTACATTAGGTTTTGCTTTGAGGGTTGTGCATGGCGGTAGGACTTCAAAGAATTGGGATTTAAGCCTTAAAAGAGCTCTTTCAGGTCTCATGGAAGACGCGAGTTTCTTGAACAAGGGTACATACACATAAGGGTACGGCCGGGGATTGTTGATGCCGGGTGTTGTTTGAGACACTACCCGGCCCTGGGAGGCTGTCAGTTTCCATGTTCTGAAATCGACACAATCGAGCTTTGCAGCTTACCAAACAATACAAAGGGTGAAACGAGCATGGGGACCTGAGGAAGCCGTCAAGTCGATGAAATCTCCTCACAAGTCGGGCCTTCAAGTAGATATCTCCCTGCTTGTGTGGAGGGCACAAGCCGTGCAAAGCGAGCAACGGCCATGCATGAGTGCTTCATGGTGCGGGGGCCGTCGTACTGATAGCAGCTACTGTGGGGAAATGCGCAGAGGGATTATCCTGAAAACTTGCATCATAGAGGGATTCTAAAGGCAACGTGACCTCACTTTCTACTGGACTGTGAGAACCTAAGGCATGGCCTGCAAAGACATCATGATGTCTGAACTAGGGTTGTTAACAGGCTGCGCGATGTTTCCAGGTGAGGCGTCAGGCCAACACTGCATCCTAGCGGGCTGAGGTCTTGCAGTGTCAGATTAAAATTTACACCCTAAATAGTAGCTTCCACTTTCTTCTCCATTCTCCCCACATTAACCCAATATTACCTCTGTATTATACTGGCTTCCATTGTCTTTTCCATTCTCCCCCTTTATCCCCAAATGCTGGTTGGGAAGGCTGGGAGGTTGGGAGCTTGGGTGCAACTTTGATATACTATAATGTAATAAGATATACTATAATGTGATATCATATAATATAATATGATACACTATAATATACTAGAATAGATTAAGATGTTCCTCTTTCTGGTCTGCGTGACATGCTTTGAGCCGGTCGGCTGCGCAGCCACAAGTACTTTGAAACAACATAGGGGTAATCTTGGGATTATAGGGGGATAATGGAAAATGAAATGGAAACTACTATAATACATGGGGCTACACCAATTGTGCGCTGGTCATCTGAGTATCTCTCCTATTCAACAGCTCAAACACGATCTTGACACATGTCGGAGGCATGGATGGATTGGCACCATGGGCTCTGAGTACTGGCTCGGGCTGGAATGCGGTAGCAGGGTGACGGAGTACCTGGCAACAGGCTCAATGCTCTACTTAATCTGAAGAGTAATATAACCCAATATGATCCCACTGGTACAATAATAGCAATAATGATAGTAACATATTATAACCCCTATATGGTAATTTCCCTAAATCAGGGAACCCCAATATAGACCCCAAAATACTATAGTCCTTATTATTGGGACCCCCAAAATGGTACCCCTAATTTTGGGAAACCCCTATATAATCCCTATAACATAGTAGTTTCCAGTGCCGCACGGCCGTGGTTGCTAGCTAGAAATCCTCTCATTGGCTGTGCTTGGGCACGCAGCCAAGCAAACATCCACCACGGCATAGTAATCAGTGCCCTGGCAGCAGGGATGCATGTGGAAGATGCGTCGTTTCTGAGAAGTCGACGAGAACCGTGAGAGTTCCATTCGTGCAAGATGCATCCAGGCAAGTACGCTGTACTCTACACAATAACTACTGAAACTGCCTTATCTCTCAAACGCGTGTGCTCTAAAACTTCGCCGCCTGCTGGATGGGACGACCAACGTCGAAGTCCAACACTTGGACACCATTCCTGGCAGAGAGCTGTCACGAAGCGACGAAGAGGTTAGGAGTCAAATGAAAAGTTGAGGGGGTTGGTCCTAGATAATTTCCACGTGACCCTCCATAATAAAACAAATTCCAGGATCCCAACCTGTCATGTCTGTGCTCGCATATCGTGGCACATGTAATGATGATAACGATGCTGACTGCTTTTGACTGTTTGAAGCCTTGCTAGTCTAATTAATACGTACGCTTTCTCACTTCGATCATAGCTAGGACCTCAGGCAGACTCTACAAAAGCTGAAGGCAGAGAGTGACAGAAGTTTGGCACATCCCGTTAACCTCCCTACTCCAAAAACGTCCCATACATTCCAGTTTACATCGATATGGGATCCCTGCAGAAACCGTGTTCACAGAGACTCCACGAAGTCCATCGAATAAAGGTCAGCAAAGTCAGTTGAAGATGTTGCCATTGAAAGCTTGAAACCGCCCCCTGCCAAATTGCGCCGCTGCTACTTACTCCAACTCCTCCCGCTGTTACCATCGCCGTTGCTACAGCCGCGAAACCCACACGCTTTGGCTACAAAGCACTTGTCAGCCTACATGGTAGTTTCTCAAATAGGGGGACCCCAATATAGACCCCTAAATACTATAGTCCTTATGATGGGGACCCCCAAAAAATTACCCCTAATTTTGGGAAACCCCACATTGTAATCAAGGCATTAGGCGCAAGCCGCTACAAGCCGCCTCCAGAGCTGTATTTGCCCCTCCAAAGTGTAGAGGCACCTTGGTCCCCAAGTCGATGGTCATCTGTTCTGCTGCAGTAGGCTGGCAGTTCGAGTCCATGGTGGTGGCGCGTGCACAAAGCCCCACTACTCAGGGCGCCTGACTAGCCAACAAGATTTCTTGCCCATGTCATGCCTTGGGTTTGCAGACTCATGTCCGTGAAACTTTGGGTCCAAGAGCTGCACCCGAACACATCGCCCGGGTTCACGTTGACCGGCGCCCTCCCAGAAACAAGCATCTATTTTTCAGGAAGGATACTCTTGATGATCTCCGCAAGTCTCAATACATGGAACTTCTTCAATAGTTTCTGCGGATGCTTAGAGGAAGTTGACGATGATGTCTTGTCCATTAGGCACCATAGCCTTACGGCATTGTCGGATGCCCAACACACCTTAATGTATCTTAGACCAGATCATACCAGGAATTCACGTAGAAATTACGTATATGGCAGTTTGATTAGAGGAGGCCCTCTACGTGCTGCAGATCTTTGGGAAGAACATCAGAGTAAGGTTCATAGGACACATGCTCCATGTCAAAATCGAACATTCCAGGTCACCTACCTCTCTTGGGCTTCCTAACCGGCTCCTGAACGCATGAACCCTTAACCCCACACTGGATGGCATTTACATCCAAAGTCAGCTTCAACCTGTCATGTCGCACAGAAGCAACAGCAGCAGTGACGAAAACCCCCCTGACCTTCGCTTGTGCGGAGGCACGTCGGCCTGTGTAGACCAAGAAGCCACCTGGCACGGCTTTGAGTCAGGATGCACTACGATCTTTTGTAAGCAAACTACAATATGGAAAGTTGGGAGCCCGATGTACATTCCTACTTGTGTTCCGTGTTCCGTAAGGGGATGTAATCTGCTCGCAAAGTAGGTGTATTTCAGCCAACAGTGACCCCTTCTGCGTGCTAGGATGGTATGCTTGTGACAAGGCTGCTCGTTTTGAGACCTATCGCTCAGTTGCAAACTTCTTCCTGGGTCACTGAGCTCAGGATCGTGTCTAGTCGTGTTAGGTATTAGGGAATTGCAGGAAGCCGCAGATGAAAGTTGTGCAGCAAAAAAGGATTGGGTGGCATCATGGCCTATTAGTGGGGGATGCTTTTTTTTGCGAGCTTCGGCTTTGCAAGACTCACCTCACCTCACTGAATTCTATGAATATGATGTTGTGCCAGCTCATCTCATTGAATGATAACTTGTACTAGACCGTGCCAAGGGGGCGACGATGTGGAAGCGAGCTCACAAATCCTGACAGTCGCTGTGGGCCAGTCACCGTGGTAACCGTGTAGCCCGGCGGAACGAAAGCTTGTAAGCCACTCTCAACGTTGGGCGGCTCATCCAGGGGAGCATAACTACTTCGGGACCGGGATGTCCTCCTGCTGAGCTTTCGCGAGAGGTAGACCTGAAGGGCACCCAGTTGCCTCCATCCTGTGTATGCCGCCAGTATCGCCCAGGCTGTACAGCCAGCGCACTGCCACTGCCATCGTCCGGGGAACGCCAAATGCTCTGGACAAGCACTTCCATCTGTCCGAGTGCCGTCATGGCACTGAACACCCACAAGCAGCGCTCCCAAAGCAAGCAACACCACATAGCCAATCAATGCCATTACCGCCAAGGCCCTACGACCACAGTTCTGAAGAGATGCGGCAAGGAAAGCACAGAGGCAGTGCCATGTCAGGGCATGAAGTCCTAAGGGTCCCAGCAGGATCGAGGCTTCGACTGACCAGGGCGCACCCTGCAAGGGAAGAAATTCTGTGTCCAAGCAGTCACCGAGTAGAGTGCCCAAGCCAGCGACCACCAAGTAACTGCCAAAGAGCGGTGCTAAGCAAGCCAGGAGAGGGCGCCTCCAAGTCACCAATACCCAGGCGCCGAAGATAGACCCAGCACAACACCAGGTCAAGGAAATCCCCGGTAGACTGTTGTCAATTGCCTGTGCTTGACTCCCGACTCCGCAATTGGCAGCCGCCGCGAAGCCGATCACAGCTCCGATGATGACCTGGGTCCCCTCAAAGCCGCTGTACACAGCAAGGCCCGTGATCCCGCCTGCCGCCAGCGTCAGCACCAGCTCTGACGGCAAGTTAGGCGCAAAGTCGTTCTTGGATGATTCGAAATGTGCAAGCCACGCCACAGCCATCGAACAGCCAGAAATCAGCAGGTTTTCCCAAAGTCGTGGCCCATCCCATGCGCAGACGCAGCCGATTGCGAATGCGGCAAGGGCAATTGCAGTCTGGTAGGGGCTCTCTCTCAACCAAGTGCCGAAGTTCTGTACATATGTTCTTACCGGCGACTTTGTGACTTGGCTGCGCAGCTTCAGAAAATCTTGGCACATGGGAGGAGCCACTGGAGCAGGGGATGGCTCCGGAGGCATCGTAGGAAGGGCAGTGGGCTCTGCCATCGCATCCGGCATCTGGAAAGGTATCTGAGGTTGCATGTTGACTGGGGGCGCCGGGACATCGCCTGGATTAAACCCATTTGCAGTCGCAGGCCAGTCCTGTGCCCAGACGAGGTGAACGCTGGCTGCGAGATGCCACCGACGCAGCATCACTCCATGTGCGGCAAGTGGATTTTGTCAGTCTAGCTGATGCTGCACAACTTGGTCATTGTTCGGGCTATGTTGCGAGATCACCTATAAAAGGGGCCTCCTAGGATGATGCCCGGGATAAGCAAAAGAGCTTCCCCTCTCCATGCGGAGTCCTTCTCAAGATGCCAGTCCCATATTGCGTGCTTGAATGCCACATGTACATGTCTGGCCTCTTGCTTTCAAGCACGAGAAACAGCGGCGAGAGCAAAATGTTCCTTCAGAGTTTTGGGTGGTAGCCGCAATGAGGCTATAGAAGCTGATTCCACCCTGTAAGACCAGCCAAAGAGCCAATATCAGGATTATCAGGTTCTCATCAAAAGTGCACCCTGGTTTTGGGAAACCCTCATCCTGATAAATGACTATATAAGCCATGTTATTTTCCACTTGATTGTCCATTTGTTTCTCCATTGTTGGAGGTACTACCCCTAATCCCTCCCTATACAACCCTACATTATCCCTAGAGTCCCTATATTATCCTACAGTGGCATCTGGGGCATACCTGGGCAAATTCCTGAGCTAAAGCCCCTGCATGAGCTACCATCAATATTTCCCATAGGAAAACTAATGGAAAAGAAGATGGGAACTACCACAATAAAAAGAAAATGGCAACTACTAAAATGGGAAAGAAGGTGGAAAGTGAAATGGAAAATGAAACGGAAACTAGGATTATATAGGGGATTATAAGGAAAATATTTCATAAGTAATGCAATGACACGGGTTCCGAGTCGGGAATATATTCGGGATTATGCTAAACTCACTTCGTAGCCCAAAAATTGACCGTAGCTCCCCTACGTGACTGACACACGTATACTGCCCAAGAAAAAAAATTCTCAATATAGAGCTAGGTAGGACGCATAAAGTTCTGACAACTGACTAAAGAATCCCCGGATGTTGTGCATGCAATTCCCAAGAAAAGCCACGCGGAACTTCAAGATAACCCGAGTTTCCATTTCATGTTCCATTTGATTCTCCTTTGGATTCTTCAATATTGGGGTAATACCCCGAATCCCTATATAATCCCTATCAAACCCGATAGTATCCCCTTATAATCCCTATATCTTAACCCTACACCCTCCACTTGGAGGATAGCTGGGCAATCTGCCTCCGTCTGCGGTGGCTGCTTGAAGCCGATCCGGAAGTGTTCCGTCTGATCGCGCGCGAAGGCCTTGTCAAGAACTTCGGGTTTAGGGATGAGTGTATATATATATATACATATAGAGCTCAGGGATTGTTAGGGCTTTACGCTTCGGATTGGATCCTTTCAAGCAGGGTTCAGCTTCAGAAGCGAAGCAGGTTAGAACCTGGATGCAACTTGACTCACTGGTTCCTAGTAGCGAATTAATGAATGTGTCATATGGGGATTACACAGGGATTGTATTCCTTTCTTACCTACTAAGAGCCAGTAAGTTGAGTGCTGCATCGAAATGGGCTCAGGACTCTTGTCGCCTGTGTACCGGGGCTTCTCAGCACTATGGATCCCTTGCTGGGACCGTGTTTGATCATATGCAGGGTCAGGAATAGATTACGGACATGGCATCCTGCGCGGGTTAGGAAAGGGAACAACAGTCAGGATTCAGACGCACACACATGGTGCTCCAGCCTCACCGCACGCTCCAACCAAAACGCTGGCGCCCAAACACCTGCAGCACGTTTGCAGTTCCGCGCCCAGCAGGATAGGTTTCAAGCATACCCGTTAAGGGAATTATTCTAGCTAGCGCTGCGCCAACCACATGTGGCTTCAGTACTGGCACCCAAGACAATGCTTGAGCTTGATCTAGCTATGGCATGCAGGTCTGAGACAACGTGGCATTCTCATCGCGAGGCTGTGCCTCGCAGCTAAAATCACAGGCTTCACCCCAAAAAACTTGGCATCTACAAGGATCCCTAAAAAAGTTAGGGAAGTTAAAAGTTTCAGGCACAGCAACAGTCAGCATGGCAGTCAGTGCTTTTTTTGCCGCGCCAAACCCACAGAAAGCGGCTTGCATCAGCTTGCCTAGCAAGGGGGGCACACAGCTTTCAAGATTGATGTGCTTAGTTAGTATCCTAGATGCCTATTTCGATGGTCCAATACGTACCTGAAAGAAGAGAAACAAAATTCAAGGGTGCATGTGCGATAAAGCCCTCCAAATACACTCTTAACGACCTGCATAGACTCTTAGATATGTTCAAAAAGCCTTTCTAGTTTCTTTCTGAAAAAGCGGCGAATAAAAAGAGGCGGAGGATTTTCATAATATCCTTAAGCCTTAAGCTTCCAAAGGTATTTGGCAAATTTAAGGTTGGGTGTTTTCTGCGTCCCTTCAAGAGTCCTCGAAGTATACCCTTATAACCTCTTCAGAAGGAGTCTTTAAAGCCGTCAAGGTTTGCCTAGAGAGCGGTGCCTCCTTCTTAAGCTATTTAAATTTTCGGAGAAGCGGAGTCCTCCCCGATTGGCAAAGTTGCGCCGTAATAGCCTCCTTGAAGGTCTAGAGGAAGGTTTGAGGGGCATTCTACAAAACTTGAATCCTTTATGATTGGTTTTATTAAGTAGAAGAGACAGAAACTTGCAGGGGAGTATTGAAGAGAGACTTAAAAGGAGAGTTTAAAGGCTAAACCCTCTTTAACTCTCTTCTTAAGCCTTGCCCTTAAGTTTGCCAGTCAACCCTCCCTTGAGGCCCCCTTTAAACACTCTTTCTCAAGGGGTGCTTGGAGCGTAAAGCGGTGCCTCCAAATTTCCCTCAAGCCTCTCTTGACCCCCCCCCTTATCCGATACCGCCCTGGCTCGAGCTCCTCTCCGCTCAAATACACTGAGAAGCACGGCAGTGTGTAGTGGGAGGGCCTAGGGAGAGTTGTAGGTAGGAGCCCTGCACCCGCAGTGGGGCCAGGTGAAGCAATGATGACCTTTGGATTTTAAGACTGCTGCATGATGAAGACTGCTCTCTAAACATGTAATGTAGAGATGTTTCCACTCAAGAGCCAGAGAACTACCTCTATCATCCTGTTCATGCTGTATACCATCCTTTTTGTTTGCCTGCAGACATTCACCCTGAAACTCTACCATCTCCCCCCCCCCTTACCTTGCCACTTCACAACCTAAACGTTTTAAGGGTTAAAGGGTTTAGGGTTTACTGCACAACCTCATGCTGTGACCACTCCATCCGAACGTTGATCAAGCTATCCGGAGACTCTACAACCCTCTAAAACCTAAACCCTCAACTCTGATGCTCTACGACGCTACACCCTTGAACTCTATGACCCTTGACCCTCAAGCTGCACAACGCTAAACCCCGAAACTTTACAACTCCAATCCCAAAAACTTTACAACCCCAAATCCTAAAAAGTGATCACCCTTGACCCTTTAATTCTACAAAGGTTGAGGTGCGAGTCGGGAAAAAGAGAAGGCGTGAATCAGGAAAAAAAGGCGTGAGTCGGGAAAAAGCAGCATGAGTCGGAAACAAGGGGAGGCATGAGTCGGGAAGAGGGAAGGCGCGAGTCGGGAAAAATTGCGTGAGTAGGGAAAAAGGGAAGGCCTGAGTCGGGAAAAAGCGGGGTGGTTTTAACATATGTCTGTACCTGGCAATCCCTCTGTCATGTCGTCAAACTTTACGGCAAGTAATGGTTTGACGTATGCTGTACCAGGCTTTCCCTTTGTCAGGTCGTCCAACTTAACGCCAAGTAATGGTTTTAGCATATGCTGTTCCTGGCTTTCCCTCTCTCATGTCTTTCTACTTATCGCAAGGTGAAAGAGGCTAGTGTTAACATGTGTCTATACCTGGCTTTCCCCCATCATGTCTGTCTACTTGTCGCAATGTGCAAAACGGGGTGGTTTTACCATACGTCTGTACTTTGCTTCCCTCTCTTAACTGTCTTTTCTTTTTGTCTTTTGCAAGATGAAGCGGGAAGCGGGGGTGGCTTTTAACATATGTGCGTGTCTGGCTTTCTCCCTTTCAACTGTCATGTCTTCCTACGTATCACGAGGTAAAAGGAGCTTGCTTTTAACGTATGTCCTTACCTGGCTTTCCCTCTGTCATGTCTTTCTACTTCTCGCAAGGTGAAAATGGGGTGGTTTTAACATATGTCTGGATTTCCCTGTGTCATGTCTTTCTACTTATCGCAAGGCGAAAACGAGGTGGTTTTAAACGCATGTCCGTACCTGGCTTCCCTCTCTCAGCTGTCATTTCTTTTTGCTTCTCGCAAGGTGAAAAAGGGGTTGGGCTTAACAGATTTCCGTACCTGCCTTTCTCCTGACTCGTGCCATTTGTTTTTCCTGACTCGTGCATTTTGTTTTTCCTGACTCGCGCCCTGTCTCCTGACTCGTGTTTTTGTCTTTCCTGACTCGTGCCCTTTTTCCTGACTCGTGCCTTTCTTTGTCCTGACTCGGGCCCTTTTTCCTGGCTCGTGCCTTTTGATTTTCCTGACTTGCGCCCTTTTTCCTGACTCATGCCATTCATTTGTCCTGACTTGTGCCTTTCTTTTTCCTAACTCGTGCTTTTCGTCACGTGCGCCCCTTTGCCTGACTTTCTTCCTTTTCCTGACTCGTGCCTTTTGTTTTTCCTGACTCGCGCCCTTTTTCCTGACTCGCGCCTCTCTTTCCTGACTCGTGCTCCGTTCATTCTACAACCCTAGACCCCAAAACGCTATCACCCTTAACCCGCAACTCCTGCGAGGTCCATGGGACTTAAGAACTACGGATAACTGGGCTTATACTTATAAGCCTACTTATAAATGGGGCAAGCTATATATGTATTATTTATTACGGTGGACACGAAAAGTCCTGCATGACCCTAAGCACCTTATACCTTGGGAGTTATTGTACTATAGTATAGTAAGGCCATGCAGGATCTTAGCATCAACAACCCTTAATCCTAAATCTCCCTAAACCCTAGCAAGTCCCATGAACCTCCAAGTACAAGCCAAGGGGCAGCTTTCCGCCGCTTTGCCGCTGGGGGCAGATCAAAGTCGACCAGCCAGGGACTCTCTGGGGAACTGGGCCCTTCCTTACTATCATTGTATACTATGATACTTGTTGTCACTGTGAAATGATTATTGATAATCTCATTCTTATTATTATGCTTATTGTTACTACTATCTTGAGTAGTAGTAGTAGTAATATTAATACTTGTAGTAGTAGTGGGGGTCTTAGGTTTCAGGGCTCAGTATTTCCGGCGTGGGTGTTTCGAATTCTGACCCCGTTCGTTGAGGTGGATCTAGATATCAAGGAACCCAACATGTTCAGAGGTTTGGAGGGTCGGGAGGTTTAGGTTTGAATCGTGCCCTTTCTCAGATCAGGGCTTCAGGTGTGAATGAGACTTTCAGGGTTGGAAACGGGCAGCTAAAGCCCCTGTCGGACTCAAAATTCTGAATTCCATGCCATGTCGTAAACGACGAAAGCTTAAACGTGGTATAGAGGCCGTCAGTAACAAAATTTGCAACGGAAGTACTTAAGGCTTCAATGAATCAGGTCTTGAGGGATAGCTTCTACCATGGCTTTACCAGGAATATGGCCCCATGCGCGCCCAATCCTCATGCAATCCCTACGCACACGCTGAAGTGTTCAGCAGCATAAGCCCTAATTAAGATCCCTTCTCAACCCGCATTAATATGACAACCCCTAACTCATGCTTAGGTAACCCCTGTATTGTCCCCACGTTGACTCTCTACAGGGTGCCTGTCAGATAGAAGTCATGTCATCTTAGCGAAAGCTCTGCTGCTGCTTCTACTGCTGTGCTGCTTGCTGCTACTGCTACCGCTGCTGGTACTGCTGCTACTACTGCTGCCACTACTGCTGCTACTGCTATCACGACGACGACGACCCCGATGCTGCCGGCGGCGGGCTTCTAATACTACAACGACGACCACGACTACGGTAGTCGTCTACAAGTGCGACGACTACGACTATGACGACCACTATTACAATCCTCCTCCTCCTACCTCTAATCCTGCTGATAGCAATGACGACGGCGGCGCAAATGTGGTCTGATTGCTAATCCAGCCGAAGCGAGCAGTTTTACATAGCACCTGTAAATAGAACCACATAGTAGCACCACACAACTGGAACCAGACCCAGCACGCCAGAAACTGCAGTCTGGCAGACAAGTGGCGATCCGCTTCCGCAGTCGCTCTTCGGAGAGCTGGCGCAGCTCAGAGTGCGCCAGCGAATCCCAGGCATCCCACATGCTAAACAGGTGCTGGACATCCTGAAGTTCACAGATGGGGGCTTGAAAAGAAAAATGTTTCTTGTGGGGACGTTAGGGGGAAACAGTACTTACAGAAGGGTTATGGAGATTCCCAATTCAAACTGCATAGGAATTATTCTGATAACCTCCCATTTTAGTGCCAAGACTAAAAATGGTGAAATAGTAGTGCAGAGTCCTATCTGTACTACCTAGCTCACGCACGCTCACAAGAATATAAATGCGATTTACAAGATGATGGCAAGCACGATTTAGCTTAAAGATCGTTGGATGGCGAATGAAAATGGAACTCACCTTGGGTGCAGGCTGACCAGACAAGAGCTGGCACTTGCTGTGTGTAGTCCCAATTTTTCAGCCAGTGCAGACCTTAAACACATCCACACGACTCCACCTCATGCCGACGCGTAGAATGTCATGAGAGGCGCGTCTACCCCTACAATCCTGACTGGTGTCCTGAGAGCAATATCGCACCAGAAGCGGAGGCAGCGGCCGAAGCTTCCAAACCTGACAAGCAGCTGCAGGGCTGGTCTGACGAAGACTCTCAACCCTCAACGGTTTAGATGTACTGGGCCTTGATGAACGTTTACAGCTGCTAGTCATGTCTTCTGCAAACATGAAACTCATGCACTCGGTAAAAGGTGCTCATGAAAGTGGTACAGCGTGTACAGCCAAGAACTCATTGGAAAAGTTCTTCTACTTAAGCTTCGATTACTGAAGACATCTCTTAGTCCTGTTCACCTTCATCTTGCCGCCCTTCTCCGGCGCGAACATTCTCGCCCCCGCCGCTTTCAGTCCCTTGGCCACCTGTCAGACACAAGGAGCTCACGGCCGGGTGTGTAGCAAATTTCGTGAAAGACAGCCCAGCTCACATGGATGATTGTCCAAGTCATGATTCTCGTGTGGCCTCTTTTGTTACGAGGGCCATCATATTTTAGGATAGGGTACCCGAGACTGAGACCAGCCCCGATGTGTTTCAGTTCATGGCACACGGCAGGCTTGGTGAAAGCAACTTTGTTGTTTCAAGCCGAGAAAGCGCTGAAGGCTCCAGGTATGCTGCCTGCTGCATACCAGCTGTGCGGGAGCACAGAGGGGGATGAGCATTTTACTGCCCGGCATAAGGCCCGATGAATTTTGGTGATTACAACTACCCAAGTTCAAGATCGATGCCAGCCTGATGCTCTTCGTAGGACAAGATTTGCCCCAGCCTCGGGACTTGAAACCGACCCTGGCATACCTTATGCCAGGTATATAGGGTATATACTGGGGTTGAATATAGGTATAATAGAAAAGAAAATGGAAACTACTACATTAGAATAGGGTATATAATGGTTTATTACAGCACTGGAGACCACAAACACAACTGTGCTTAGCCAATTCGCCTAACATGTTGCGGTGGGTGGGGCTAACGTAATGGTTACCAGCCAGTAGTCCACTACAGCAGGTAGCTCGGGAATGGACGGATGATGGAGATCACGAAGCCCTAAACCCTTCAACCCTGAACCCTAAACAGGGGACTGCTTTCGCTTTCGGGATGACTGAGAAGACTTCCAAAAACCCTGCGGCAGACCTGGCACTGTAATCCTTGCATGCGCTAGAGACTAAACTCCTTACAGGAGGTTATGTAGGGGATTATATAGGGCTTAGGGTTTAGGGTCTAAACTCCTAAAGAGGAGTTATAGGGGGCATTATACAGGGGGGTACTGTAGAGGCTACTAAGGTGGGATACTAGGAGTTTACAGACTATAGCTACTATAGCTCACATGCACTGACGAATAATTGAAGTATAGTAAGTATTCTTGCTTCAAGAAAACACCGCAATCAAACATCAAGGGCAGGGTACTTAACTTCCTTCATGAATGATGGACCACTCCTAGACAGAGAGATCACGCAATATCACGCGTCAATGCTTACTAGGGTGGTTTACCTATATGCCAAAAATTTGCCGAATCGCCTGCTACGCTGGCTTCCTTCTATGCAGGCGCGCAACGCTTTGGCCATGCCAGGAAGCTGCCCTGAGCGCTGGCCAGAATGGTGCATGAAGAGCACCTGCATGTCTAACCTGGGATACATGGAGGTTTCCCAAAATTAGGGGTACCATTTTTTCGGGGTCCCCGTTATTAGGATTATAATATGTTGGGGTCTATNNGGTCTATGTTGGGGTCCCCCTAGTTGGGCAAATTACCACGTGGGCAAAGAAGTTGGGAAATGAAGCCAGGGGCATGCACTTGGCGAAACACGTGCCTGAGCACGGAATCCTTGCATCTAGACTGCATCACAGAAGGCCGGGGTGCCAAGAGTTCCAGATACTTCAATTCTGAAGGATGGTAATGTTGGGATAATGGAAAAGAAAATGGAAGCTACTATAATAGGGTTATTTGAATCTGGTCGCGCAGACCTTTTGAACACTGCGAAGCGGGGTTAGCTCAAGGGCCCTGGTATTTGAGCCATACGGCATCA